GGGGGCGTTGACATGTGTCAATCACTTCCGCGTGTGGCAGCGTGAGAGCGGACGCGGACCGGCTGTGGGCGAGTGCAAGCCGCCACCTGGGCCGGACAGTCTGCGCGAACACGTGGAGGTGCATATGCTCGGCATGGCCATGATTTGCGTGTGCATCGATCCGCTGCAATGTGAGCGATGCGAGGGCTGGTGAAACCGCAGCCCGGCTCCGCGACGCAGCCAGATGGGGAGGTTGATGTGCAGTGCGGGCGTGGAGGAGGGTGTGGAGGGAGTGGAGGGAGTGGTGGGTTGTGTGGATGTGGGTGAGAGAGGGTGTGTTGCTTGCACGGTGGGCGTGGTGCATAGTCCTAATCCGACAGAGGCTGCATTCGCTAGGGCCCTTCCCCGCGCCTCTGTGTGTGCTTGTGCCGAGCGGGCTTGGAGGTATGTGGTATTCTAGTCAGTGAGTAGATACATATGTAGCATGTATGAGTCCATGTACTCTACTGTACGGGACGAGGTCACGATGGCAGATGTCGAGGGTGTGCCAGGGCGGGGGGGAGGCGGCGGTGGCGGCGGGGAGGCAAAAGACGGGGCAAACGACTCAATGGGCGAGCCGAGAACACTGCCGCGGCCCATGTGTGTGTACTTGTATTTGTGTGCATGTACATAGTAGAGTGCGTACCTCCATGTACATATGGACACATGTATGGATGTGTGCAGACATTACAGTCCATGTACATGGATGCATGGTAGCTAGTACATGGACAGCACTAACCATGCCATGGGCCGCCCTCCCTTTCTCCGACTCGACTGGATGATATAGTATTGCCAAAAGGCTTCTTTGCTTCTTCTACCGCCTTACTGGACCCTGCAGCTCATCTGCAACCCCCCGCCTTCCGCCCTGCCCTGGCGAGCCCTGCCCAATATCCAGCACCGCTTCCTCCAAGCACGCCCATGGTCCGGAACGCGCTCCGCAATCCTTTCCCCCCTTCCCCTCGTCGCCCTCTTCCACTTCCCCCCAGCCAGCCAGCTAAAGGGCGCATGCATGTGCTCGTCCCGTTGCTTCTTGCTTAACAAGGCAGCCCTCCGCCAATCACGCCCACCACGACCCCGACGCTGCTCGTCTGCTTTTTTCCCTCTCTGCTGCCCTTCGCATCCCTCTTCTGCCTATACTGGCTGTCGACGGCCCGGTGGGCCAGCGCTTTGGCCCTTTTTGCTCTTCACGAGACCCGCTCCTGGGCCCTGTGGCCCACCTTGGACGCCCACTTAGCCCTCCACGTACCTTTGCGCCCCGACCCACACGCTGCTTGCCTGCCTGCCTCCTACTCTACCCTCCGTGCCTCAAGCCTCCCTAATGGCGTGCGCCCGCTGGTCCAGCAGCTAAGCCAGCTAGCACTCAGTTACCCTTCCATGGCCTCCCCGACTGCCATATAGCCCCGGCCCTCGGAAGCACGCGTCGTCTGGCTACACGTCCGACCATCTTGTTTAAGACAAGTTCACTTCCTCCTAGCGTCACTTGACCTACAAACCACGCTCTGCCCCGAGCTATCGTCTATCGTGTCTTTCAGAATCTTCATATCACCACAACTCTGCCGCTCAGACATATCCCCCCTGACCATCTCTGCTCCTCCTCCTCCTTCTCCTCTCAAGGTCCACCCACTTCCACCCTTCCAACCCCACCACACCCTCCCTGTCAAATCATTCCTCTCTACCAATCCTCTCTCAATTGCAACCTGCATACCCAGTCCAAAAGAGGGTACGGAAAAATAAGTGGTAGCCAAAAAAAAGCTCGCTTCATACCTCTCTTCACGCACCCCCATTCCGCTGTAAGTCCGAGCAACGCCCATGACTCTCCAACCAACGCATGCTGATTCCATGCAGACATTTCACATAATCACTTGGCCCTCTCTCTCGACACACTTTCCGTCTGTGTGGTAAATCGGTAGACTTCGGCGCCACGTCATAAATCCACACGTCCAAATGATCCAAGTCTGCTACCCTACCCCTCCTCTCAAGACCGTGCATCCGAGGCGACTCGTCCTCGCACCGGTCATACAAAATCAAACAACAATGAATCCTCCCACAGCACCAAACCCGGCCGGAGACGCGGGTGTTCTCCCAGAGTTCAACAGCCTCAGCCTCCAGGACGCACCATCTCCACCAGTAAACGATGATGAGCTCGACGTACTCAACATGTCACGCGAGACGGCCATGAAGTTGATTGCACGCTCCATCATCGCCATAGCAAACGCCGCCGGCGACGTGCCAGCCACGCCACCGCTGTCGCGACCTGCAACACCAGGCGGCCGGGAGACCCAGGTCATTCGACAGCACCGAAGAACCTCTTCTAGACCCGCCACGCCCATACCCGCCGAAAAGGAAAGCCATCAGCCTACAGAACTAGCTCCGCCAGAAGCGAGCCACGACGAGCCCGTCACCATCCACGACATCGGCGCCGGAGCCCAGCCCGAGGCGGTGCAACGCGCCAACATGGCGAGGAAATTCTTCTCCAAGACGGTGCCAAAGGTGGGCGTGGAAGAGTACATGAATCGCATTCAGAAATTTTGCCCGTTATCGACTGCAGTCTGGCTAGCGGCTGGATCCTACATGCTGCGCCTGTGCGTTATCGATAGGAGCGTCCCACTGACCTATCGCACCATGCACCGGCTTATCTTGGCCTGTGCACTGGTGGCGATGAAGGCGCTCGAGGATCACCGATGGCCTCAGAAGCGCTTTGCGGCTGTAGGCGGCGTCGACGAGGCTGCGCTCAGCCGTCTGGAGCTGTGTGTCGAGTTCCTGCTGTCGTTTGATGTCCAGATCTTCACTCCAGAGAAGCTCCGGGAACTGACACTGCAGCTGCAAAAGGCGGGTCAGGCTGCCACCATGACGTGCCGGTTGCCAACAACTTTTAACCTTCGATTGGGTACCCCCAAGATGCGTAATGCGCAGGTAGCGTGAGTGTTTGTTTCAAGGAAGAGAGAGAGAGACAGATGTGTATGGAGAGACTGAGCGGACGCAAGATGAAGCGTCATTCTCCTTGTTGTTTCGAGTTTTCAGGATATCCCCCCACCTTGAGCATGAAATCGGCGTTTGGGTAATAGCAAAACAGAGGCATCGAGATCGATGCCTGGGCAAGCGGGTCATTGTGTACTATAGACACCAAAAAGGTGCATAGGAAGAAATGTTGAAATTTGTTGGCGCGCAAACGCACGAGCCCACTTTTTGACGGTTGTTTGTGGAGACCCGAATGATGTACTCTAGATCCAGGTACCGTTCCAGTTCCAGAGTGACGACTGCCGCTGCCAAGGCTGTGCGGGAAGTCTATCAATCGCGGCTTACGGAAGACTGGAATGCCAATACTCGTCGATGCTGGCGCCGTTGATCAGCAAGCTCCATTGTGCGGCTTCGACTGCGCACCACTATCAGACGACTCCACCAGAACATGGCCATTTTTTTTGGCGGTGCGTTGTGCTGTGTTGAGGCTACGCAATGACATGCGTGCGCATCCCTGTTACGGGCAGGTTTTAGCTTGCGCGGCAACGACGATCGTGTGCCCCTGGCGCGCCACAGTCTCGTTGAACGAGTCCGGACTTGCTGCACACTTCACGCTCTGGGTACTAACAAATACCCGCCTCGTCCACGCCTCCCACCCCCACCGCTGCTGTATAGAGAATCGCAAATTCGCATCTATCACTCGCTTCATTGTCGCTCCCTAGTTGCACACTACGCACACTACGCCCGCCACGCCCACCATGACGCGGATACTCGTTCCCTTCGCTGCAGTCGTCGCCACGTTATCTCCCCTCGTACACGCTGGCATCAAGTTCACTGCCCCCGCAGCTGGCTCCACAATTGTCGCCGGCTCTGCCATTACCGTACAATGGTCAGAAACCGATGCGGGGCCCAAACTTGCGGACCTGAAGGGTTACCAGTTGCAGCTGGTGGTTGGAGGTAACAAGGGCGAGGAACAGGTAAGCTGAGCTTGGGGCAACGAGCATAGAGGCCGTATGCTGACATCTCTACTAGATGATCGCGACTACCATCACCCCGAGCGGCTTATTCTCGGCCGGTAACGTAGCTTCAGGAAGGGTAGAAGCAAGTGTATCAGAGGATCTCAAGGATGCCAATGCCTAGTATGTGCACCGCCCCAGATTCCTCGACCCTCGCTCTAGCACAGGACTAATGCCGCCATCGCAGCTTTATCAAGATGATCGCGACTGGCAAGACTGGCGACGGCCAGTACGTCGTCTACTCTGATCGCTTTTCCTGCTCCGGCATGACTGGCAAGAACATCCTCAATCCGACTGTGAAAAAGGCCGCCACCGACGTCACTGGTACAGCTGGACCGGCAAGTGAAGACACTTTGACCGATAAAGATCCAGCCACTGCTGGTGATCTATATGCTGTCGAATACACCATGCAGACCGACATCACTCGTTATGCGCCCATGCAGCCTGTGCCTGGCACAAAGGTTACTGCAACCAACACCCAGCCACAGTACCCCACCAGCAGTGTGAGGATTGCCAAAACCAGGCTGCCACCTCCTAGCCAGGTGAATACCATCACAGCCCAGCAGACATTTTCTACCAAGAGCAGGGCAAACACGGTATGTTGTTCGAATGATTGACAACGAGCATACGCCATCTTTTATGCCGAGGCCAATTGGGAATATTTGCTAACTGGTCTACAGGTTGCCCCGGCGCCTCACGCCACCGACGATATGGCCAAGTTCCTCAGGCGTTGGCAAGACTAGATGACCTTTTGTTTGTTGAAAGATATCAGTCCTGTAGCTCGAAGGCTGGCAGCAACCGACACATTGTTTCCAGCATCGACATTTGCACACCGCCGTAGAGCAGGCTAGTCCTGGGTATCGTGGCCGTGGACCTATAACCCATAGCATAATCACGTCGTGCCATTGTTCGCTTCGCTGCAACGCCTGCAGGATCGTTTTGTTTCACTGCATCTTTATACCTGAATAATAAAGGGATACCCGATTTTGGGCAATGACATGGCACGGCGTAGGTGTTTGGAGCTTGCTTGATTTTCTTCATGGCTAGGGGTTGTTGGCACGTTGTAATAAAGTTTAAGAAATTTATAGACATGATTATGTAGTTCTACACGCACTAGCGGATGCATCAAACGACATTTTTACAATATTGTTTTTACCAAACACTGCTTTCGTATAACTCCCATCATTTACACAGTAACCAGCTGATACGTGGAATTACACCTTCCTCATCCATAAAAGCTCGTGAATCGCATAACCGCGGCTACCCGCCACTTAATCCGATGGAATACCCGGAGTAAAACAGCCCCTATCAAAGCAGAGCTACCATTTGCAATCAATAGCATTCATTGCGATGTAGTTGAAAAATAATTGTAACATGAGTTGTTCACGTCTGCTTAGAGTATAGAATGTTAGATTTACTATCTTGGAAGATAATATATTTTTTCCAAAATACTAGTGTGCAGTTCCATCTCATCAACATTACGTTGTTTTGGTGAGAGTAGGTTTTATCCGAGTATTTCGTCGGACTAAGAGCCGCGCCTGCCAGGCTCGAGTCTCACCACCCCACCACCCCCACCTTTCCAACCCGAGCTATCTTTTGCATCTAATCAACTGACGAGGCAACTCCGACAGCTCACGCCCCCTTCCCCTTCTTATGTACAACCTCTTGCCCCAAATCAGTCGCTCCCTTCGACACACTCTGCGTACTACCGCTGCACGAACTTCGCAACGACGATTAGCGAGTTCCGCAACTGCAACACCGTGCCTGTACAGCCTATCTACAGAGAGCGAGAGTTGGATCAACGTGACCAAAATGGCCATTGCTGAGAACTACGACGAGGTCCTCAAGGGCAAGTACCCAGCTAAAGAGCATGCGAAAAAGGTCAAGGAGTGGTTGGTGAGCAAAGGTGGGGATAAGAATGGAACGATTTATCTGGAGGCTCAGAAGCAAAAGCTAAATGAGGATAACGATGGAGAGGCGCCATTCCGGTACGAAGAACAAGACGAAAGATGTCTAAGGGACTTATGCTAACCACCCCGTCTCTAGACAGCGACGTTACTTTTTCTATCTCAGTGGTTGCGAACTCCCAGACGCGTACCTCAAATATGAGATGGCCACTGAGAAGCTGACACTCTTCATTCCTCCTGTGCACCCGGATGAGGTCATCTGGTCAGGCCTGCCAATGAGCCCAGAGGAAGCAAAGGCAAAATATGATATTGACGAGTGCTTCACCACCGACGAGCTAAACTCGCACCTTGCCAGCACATCCGAGTCATCACAATCAACAATTTATGCCATCCCAGAACAGGTATCAGACCACGTCACCTTCATCGCGTTCAAGGAAAAGGAGTTTACCCAACTCAAGACGGCCATTGAGTACTGCCGAGTTATCAAGACGGACTACGAGGTTGCTCTTATCCGCAAGGCAAATGTCATTTCTACTGCAGCTCACGTAGCTGTCATGAAGGCCGCTTCCAAGGCGCAAAACGAATGCGAACTCGAAGCAGTTTTCCTCAAGGCCTGTGTTGAGCGCAACGCAAAGAACCAGGCCTATCACTCCATTGTCGCTGCAGGAGAGCACGCAGCTACACTGCATTATGTCCACAATGCCGCGCCAATTACAGACCAGAACCTCCTGCTGCTGGATGCTGGATGCGAGCTCGACTGCTATGCGTCAGATATCACACGCACATTCCCCATCAAGGGCACATTCACAACCGAGTCTCTAGCCATCTACAAGATCGTTCTAGACATGCAGCTACAATGTATCAATGCACTCAAGGCTGGCGTCGTGTGGGACCATGTCCACGAACTTGCTCACAAGATTGCTATCAAGGGACTCTTGGATCTCGGTATCCTGAAGGGAGATGCCGAAGAGCTGTTCAATAAACGAATCAGCGTAGCGTTTTTTCCACACGGCCTGGGCCACTACCTTGGAATGGACACTCATGACACTGGCGGCAACGCAAACTATGCGGACAAGGATGTCATGTTTCGATATCTCCGGACACGAGGTGCGCTACCAGAGCGCAGTGTGATTACTGTTGAGCCCGGAATCTACTTTTGCAAGTTCATCATTGAGCCATATCTCAAGGACGAGGAGAAGAAGAAGTATATTGATGAAAGTGTGTTGGATAAGTACTGGGCAGTGGGAGGAGTCCGAATTGAAGGTAAGTAATAGTGGTTTAAACAAGGTTCCGCGGAGCTAACATGATTTAGATAATGTGCTCATTACGAAGGACGGAGTGGATAACCTGACGCCGACACCCAAGGATGTTGACGACATCACCCAGCTGGTCAAGTCTGCATAGGTTGTGAATACGTTTACGGCAAGGCAAAGCCATACCTAGCGCATATAGACATGAATATATCATTTCCGATGAACGAATATAGAGACCTTCTACGCATAGTATAGCGTTACCATCATACAGCAAGGCACGCGCAGTATTCCCCAATCACATGGACTAGCAGTAACCTCCATTCCGAGATGCTCGTCTGTATTCCCTTTATGGGCCCGGAGTATGATGGTCCGTTTCGCATTGATTGGTGGGCATTGACATCCTTGCCCTTTTCGCCTAGTTCATTTAGCGATATTGCCATAGTCACGTTGAGTGTGGGAACCCCCCCTGTTTCCGGCCACTGTCTAGCTCTCTTGTGGAGAGGTTCCAAAGGTGGCATCATGTATGCCAACCCTATCAAATTAAACTAGTCTCGAGGCACGGAATTGTGAGTGTCCGGGGCTAAAAAGGGCTTTTTTACTAAGAAGGGTTTGCGTGTGTGTAACGAGGAGTGATGGATGGGGGGAGGGGGAGGGGGTGGGGATATATAAATGAAGAGCTGGGGTGAGTTGTGGTAGGTAGGTTACGCAGTGCTCAGGTGCCTTTGTTTATTTTTATTTTTTCTGGAGAAAAGATGTTTGCACCACTTCTTGCTGTTGCGGCTCTCTTTGGGCTGGCTGTAGGCCAGAAGATTACTCTTCAAGCGGAGGATGCTATGCTCTCTGGTACCACGGTTGGCTCTTCAGTCGCAGGCTTTACAGGTAAATCCGTTCTTCACTCATCTACAACTTGAACCTGTACAGTGCCCGCTAAACCAGTGTTTTTTTTTTCTTGTCTAGGAACCGGATATGTAGAAGGCTTCTCGGATGCCACAGACAAAGTGACTTTCAACATCAGCAGCCAAACGGGGGGTCTGCACGACCTCGAGTTGATCTACAATGGACCGTACGGCGACAAGTTCACGAACATTGTCTTTAACAATGCGGGCGGCAGCCAAGTCAGTCTTCCCGCGACCACAAAATGGACGACGGTGCCCGCGGGCCAGGTGCTGCTCAAAGCAGGTATAAACACAGTTGAGATCCAGAGCAACTGGGGCTGGTACCTCATCGATGCCATCACCCTTACGCCCACTGCCCAGCGACCTCCGCACAACATCACCACAACCCCCGTAAACCCCAAAGCAAACGCCGACGCCAAAGCGTTGCTGAAATACCTCGTCAGCATCTACGGCAAGAAGATTCTTTCAGGCCAACAAGACCAGGCATCTTTCGACTGGGTAACTACCAACGTCGGCAAGACACCCGCCATTCTCGGCCTCGACTTGATGGACTACACCGACTCCCGCACCTCACGCGGCGCCTCCTCCAAAGACATCGACTACGCTCTCGCTTTCGCTAAAAAGGGGGGCATCGTAACCTTTGTGTGGCACTGGGGCGCACCCACGGGCCTCTACGACACAACCGAGCAACCCTGGTGGTCCGGCTTCTACACGCGGGCTACGGATTTCGACATCTCTCTCGCGCTATCCTCTACGACAAACGCAAACTACACGCTGCTCCTCCACGACATCGACACCATTGCCGCGCAGCTCAAAAAATTGCAAACAGCCGGCGTCCCCGTCCTCTTCCGCCCGCTCCACGAAGCAGAAGGCGCATGGTTCTGGTGGGGCGCCAAAGGCGCCGCCCCGGCCAAACAACTCTACCGTCTCCTCTACAACCGCCTCACCACCACACACAACCTGCACAATCTCATCTGGGTCTGGAATTCCGTGAGCCCGGAGTGGTACCCTGGCGACGACGTCGTGGATATCGTTTCTGCGGATACGTATGCGCAGGGCGACCACGGTCCGCAGTCGGCAACGTTTAATGCCTTGTTGAAGTTGGGGAGTAGGGAGAAGATTGTGGCGGCGACCGAGGTGGGGAGTGTCATGGAGCCTGCCGATCTTCAGGCCTATAGGGCGGATTGGGCGTGGTTTGTGGTGTGGGGGGGTGAGTATATTAGTGGCGGGGTGTGGAATAGTGTCGAGTTTTTGAAGAGGGTTTATGGGGATGCCTATGTGCTTACGCTAGATGAGATTCAGGGGTGGAGGCGGACGTGAGGGTTAAATGTGTTTTGAGGGGGGGGGGGGGGGGGGGTTTGTTTGTATGTAGGTTTGATGTTGGTGGTGGGGATGTGGGAGGGCGGAGGCTAGACTAGATAAGGAAGGGAAAATGGCTTATGTTAGTAGGGGCCTTAGGCTATGTTGCTTTGCTCTTTGTCCGCTTTGTACTAGGGGCACGCAAAAGTAAGCGGGGCTATGTATCTATGTGAATGATTCATACATAAGTTCACCTTACCCTTTACTATTACTCCTTCTTTTTCTTGTGAAGTGCTCTCTTTTTTTTCTTTTTTCTTTTCTTTTTTTTCGATTTATACTTTGAATACTAAAACTATCGACAATGTCGGAAGCTCAACGCCCCAAAGTCGGTGTCGGCGTCATCATCCACGACGAGGCTGGCAACATCATCATGGGTGAGCGCGCAGGCAGCCATGGCGCTGGTATCTACCCTTTTCTCTATCCATTCCCCCTCTCTTCCCCCCTCCCCTTCGTCCTGCATGACTAACATATATACTCCCAAAAGGCACATTCCAATGTCCCGGCGGCCACCTCGAATACTCCGAATCCTTCGCCGAAACCGCCGCCCGCGAAGTGCTTGAAGAAACCGGTCTGCAAGTCGGCAACATCAAGTTTCTAACTGCTACAAACGATGTGTTTGGCGAGGGCAAGCATTACGTTACTATTTTTGTCACGTGTACGATTACTGGGGAGGATAAGGTGGCTAAGGTTTGTTTCCCCCCCCCCCCCCCATATCTTTTTTTCATTATGCAATTCTACTACGGCTTTCCATTTCTGTGCTTCTCTGAGATATTTGATAAATTGCTGATGTTTATGACACGATAAGCCGATGGAACCGCACAAATGCGCGGCGTGGGAGTGGGTGCCGTGGAGTCAGATGTGGGCTTGGGCCGGGGAGCAAGCGGCGGCTGAGAAGGAAGGTAGGGAGGTCAAGAGGAAGATGTTTTTGCCGCTTGTGAATCTTTGGAGGGAGTATCCGGAGTTGGAGTTTGCGTTGGGTGGGAAGAGGTAAGGAAAGGAAGAATGAAGGGGATGTTGGAGGTCCCTCGCTTTGCTCGACGGCCCATATATGAGGCATGCGATTTTCTTGGTTTCCGGGAAAAGCGAAATTTACTACGAGCTTATCCTCCATCAAGCAAGTTGAAACAAACTGGCTTTTGATTGACCTGGACTCTACGATTGTGGGAACACGATGAGATATCAAGTAATGTAAACTTGTATGAACATCCTGAAGAAAAGGAAGACATTCAGCTTACACAACAAAATCCCCACTCATGTCCTGAACCATCATTGCAAAATAGAATTCAAGAAGTAAAAGAAATACATCCAATTACGATGCTAACTTCCTCGACGACACTACCTCCCACTCACTAAACTAACATAAATTCACCCTCGCCTCCCCTTCCTTTCTATACACATCCTTCTACCACGCCTCACTTCCAACCGCTCAACCCCGCCCAAGGATCATGTGCTCCACCCGCACCTTGATTCTGCCCTCCCTGTCTCTGCGGATGAGCGTAACCCCCTGCTCCACTCGGATATCCAGGCTGAGAAAAATGGCTATAGTCTTGCTGATGGCTTGGCGGGGGCCCAGGTGGTGGGGGAGGAGGAACGTAACCTTGTGGCAGGTTAGGTGGCTGTGGCGTACCACTCCATTGTTGCTGCTGCTGTGGAGGCTGACCCCAAGGCTGGTGTTGTTGATGCTGAGCCGGCGGTGGAGAAAAGAACTGCTGATGCGCAGGGGGAGAAACGGGGTTGTATTGGTTGTGGACTGCAGGGTTGTAGCCTGAAGAAGACTGTGACGACTGTGATTGATGGGCGTATTGTTGCTGGTAACTCTCTCGTCGTGGGGGAGCTTGGTTGTAGCTGTTTGAAGGCTGGCTGTAGCCTTGCTGTGGCGACATGTACTGCTGGGTTGGGGCTGTAGTAACGGGGTAACGTGGCGTGACAGGTGGTGAGGCTGCAGGATTATACGCTCCGTGGCTAGCCCCTGAGGTTGATGGGTAACTAGGAGTTGACGACAGCGGTGGCGGTATGCTCTTCTTTCGGCCTGAGCCCTGTGATACAGGCGAGCCAGAAGGCTCCATTGACATTCTTTCCATGAGTTCCTTCATTCGTTGCTGTTCCTGATCTGCACCTTGCGCCTTGTTTCGCTCCTCTATCTTCGAGAGAAGCTGCCCGCCTTCTCCTCTTCGGTTATTAACAAAAGTTTCGACATTCTTCAAGAGACTCGAGACAGTATCCTTCATCTCCGAATAAAAGCTCTGGGCACGTGACAGGCCAGCAACAAGGTCATTGAAGCTCTGGTACACTCTCCGGTACTTAGTCATGACCGTATTCCGTTGTCTCGAAAAGGCCTCGTATTTGCTCTGCTCAGATCGTACACGTTTGTCTTTTAGCAAGTCTGAGTAAGTGCGCGTAAGTTCTTTGAGAAGTGATGCCTGTTTGTGGTTCGCCTGTAGGATGCGGTTCTGGTGTGGCCGGAACTTTTCAAGCTCAGCTTTGAACAACTGCGCTTCTTGATTTGCAATGGCTTTCTTGTTAAGTATGAGAACGTTGGAGATGTCGTCAGAGTGAACCTATTTGGTCAGTAAAGTGCAGCTCAAAACTCGAGTTGGCATGCCTACTTTGTCTTTGAGGTCCTTCAGTATCTGCATCCTCTCCTTTTTGACAAGATTCAGCTTCCGCAGGATATCCTCAACAGCGCCAATCTGGTCTGTAACCGAAGGACCCTCATCAATGTCCTCGTCAATCAGAGTACCTTCAGTTGGCCTGGGGCTCTTTCCCTTGGTTGCACCGGCCTTGACCATGGCTCTCGAGTATAGCACATCGGCTTCGTCCGTCTCGCCGGCTGATCGCATTTCGTCAAAGTCGGCTTCGTATTGGCGGAATGTGCTGTAGAGCTGAGCATCACTGCTGCTTGCCTCTTCAACCGCTCCACGATAATTCCTGATGTCGCTCCGCAATGTCGAGGTTAAGCGCGAACTGGGTTGCTGCGTCCATTCTGCTCCGTACTTTGATCTCATCTTCTCGCAAACGCTTTCTTCCATGTCCAATTGTTTCATACTCGACTCCAGTGAATTGATAATCTCAGATTTGTCGCGATCCAGTTGCTCAAAGGCCGCCCCAAAGGATTGGTGTCCAGCAAGCTCCTCGCACCACATTCTGAAATCATTATCGACCATCATGTCCTGATCCATACCACCTCTTATGACGTTGAGACTATCGGGCAGCTTCAGGTAATCCAGACCAGCAGCCATCTCATCGTTGGCTACTTCGACTCGCTCGCTCTCCGCGCGGATGAGTTTGGCTTTTTCTTCGTCGTATAGACTGGCTGACTCAGTCACAGCTAGAGGCACAATCTTCTGGAAAATGTCCGGTCCGATGATTCGCTGGATATCTTGGCCCTGGTACAGCTCGCTGACGGGTATCGCTTTCGCCGCAGGCATCTTCGACACTGGCGTAAGCGACGCCTCATTTGGAATGCCTTGGTGGTAGATGAAATCGTTATCTTTTGAAAACTCGGCCAGTTTCTCCTGTACATTCGCTAAATGCTTTTTAGTCATCTCTGATAGTATGCTACCCGTGTCTGAAGCGAGATTCGAATTGGCAGGTGCATTGTTGGGAAAACTGCCTGCCGCTCGAGTCGCATCTTTGGCACTTGCTTCGGCCACCTGAAGTCTACAGATTGCGATACCGTGTGAGTTTGCGTCATCGTCAGCTAGAGCCTGATAGTACTGGGCCAAAGAAGCCATATGGTGTGATTTGATCTGTTGAACAATCAGTCTTGACCTTCAAGTATGGCTGTGATGCTCCTACCTGACAAACCAATAGCCAAACCTTCTCAAACACAGCATTGGTGACATTCTCTTGTGCGCCTTCTGTAGCCTGCGTATACAAGAATGCAGCCTGACTCGCCAGTTTTGCGAGTAAGCCAACCTTCTTTCCATCTGCAATCTGCTTTTCTAGAAACACCTCTTGCGCCTGCGCCAGCATGATGGCAATGAGCGTCTTGACAGTCTCCCGGCTAAGATCGGTCGAGGGTGCGTGGAGGAAGTTCTCGTTGATGTATGTGAACATGCCGGCGGATGCCTGGAAGGAGTGATACGCAGTCTTGAGCCCCACATCCTCATGTCTGTTCTGGTGGGCGGCGTGACAGGATAGGACGGCTGAGATGTTGAAGATGATGCTGGCCTTTTCGTATGCGAGCGAGTATTGCGAGGTCGGCTTGTGTGTAAAAGCATCGAACCTGTCGTCAGTCAGTGGTGGCTGTCCTACATCTGCCTAACTCGTCTCTGCTTTCCATGCACCGCTCATGCCTATGCAGCAACACTTCCACAAACGTACCACGTAAAGCTAATCTTGATGTGGTTCTCATCCACTGGGAATCTCAAATCGAGCAGTTCCAGCTGTCCATAGTAGCGATACAGTAAATCTCTCCCTGCTGCACTGTCCTTGCCGGCGCCTCTCATGTCCTGGCGCAGGCGGTTCAACGTAGCGCATTCTTCCGAGTAACGTTCTGGGTCGTCGCCGTACGTGGCTCGTATGTACTGTTTCAGTGGAGCTATCCAGTCAATCTCGTTGGTCTGCTTGAGCGGGACCGAAATCATGGGTATTTGGGTCGTCATGATGGGCAATGTATGCGCAGTGTCAGCCGCCCCTGGGCGCGTCTTCAGAAGAGGTATTGTCGCAGAAGTGGGCTGGTCGTGTCCCTCGGGCAGCGATCAGCGATCAGCGATGAGCGATGACGGTGACGGGCGACAGGCAACGAGCGACAGGCGACAATGCGGGAAGTGGGTTCTGGTAGGCCTTGGACAGGACGCTAGGACAATTGCTCCAGCACCGTATGCGCAATGCTCGTGGGCCAATGTCGCGGGTGTTCTTGGAGTCGTAGCCAGGCAATCACGCAGCAAATGGAGTGGCGGACATGGGGGCATGCAGCACAGCGAACGATGATGCGTTGTTGGTCGGAGTGGGCTGTTCACCGAGGCACAGCTTGGTCAAGCCGCATAGGGCACGTATGCGAGCGATTGCGTTGCGACACGGTGAAAGCTTATATGGTAGCGATGTTGCAGTAGCTAATGCAGTGCCGTTGGTGAGCTCCGGAGGTGTCGACGACATACGGCGAAGCAGGAGCACGAGGACGAGGTAGCCGGTGGTGGGGGCCCTGCCAGGCACATGCATATAAGCAACACCAGACCCGCGCCCTCACCAGCCCGTATCCGCCTATCACCAAGCACGCACACTACCAAGGTCAGACCGCTATCCGTATGTAATGCTCTCCTCTTGTCACACCGTCGTGAGAATCTAGCGAGCCCAAGTGGGCGATCCCATGTCTGCCGCTTGCGCCCGCCCAATAACATTTATAAGAGGCCGCATCGCTACGCGCCCGCGATATTGGCTGTGCAAGACTAGCGAACCTTCACCTCAGGAAACACTTGACGAGGATAAGAAACAGTCAGGGATGAGTCAATCTCTGTTCATGTCAATCATAACGGGCGTTATATTATACAAGCCTTGAGTCGAGAGGCTGGATACAGATACTTCTATACACCATGTCCAAAGCAGCTTCTCATGCGCCGTCCAATGCTACCCGGTATTTTGCTGCGAGTGCGCCTCCCACATGGCGCCTAGACTCGCCGTGTGCGCCAGTCCATTCATACAATTCTCTGTGCCATCAACCTATGCTCAGCCCGACCCCTTCTTCTTCTCGTCTTCTTCCGCCTGCCGTCGTTCTTCGGGGCTAAGGTGCTTATGTTGCCCAGTCAGATTGTGCCATGCGTTCTTGAGGAACCCCTCGTTTTCATGTCCGGTTTGAGTCGTGTTGCCTGCCTCATCCTTCATCTTGCCAGGATTGATGACCCGCTGTGCGTTCTTATCTCCCATCTCATCCGCAAGCATCTCGAGAATAGTTCGCTGGTTAACGCTGAGATACTTGGGCATATTGACTTTGAACTCTACACGCAAATCACCCTTGCCGCCACGTCGTCCAGAAAGCACCTTCATGCCCATGCCAGGAAGAGTAATGCGGTCTCCCGTACCGGAGCCAGTTGGCACGTTGACCTTGACTTCACCGTCCAGGGTGGGAACCTTGATTTCACCTCCCAACACAGCAGTAGTCAGGGGGATAGTCGCCGTGTGGAGAATGTCGGAGCCGTTCCGCTTGAACTTGGAGTCGGTAGCCACGCGAATGAGGACGTAGAGATCTCCCTTTTGACCACGAATCTGGCCAGAAGACATGGCTTGTCCGGTAAGTGGCGCATCTCCCTCGCCGTTGACGCGCAGGCGCATGCCATCTTCGACACCACCAGGAATTTCAATCGTGATGGTTTTTCTTTCCTTGACTGCTCCGTCGCCACCGCAAGTGCCGCACGAAGAGCCTCGGGGGATTGCGAATCCTGAACCGCCGCATGACGAGCAAGTTGCACTCATGTGGAAGCCGCCCATGCTTGTTACCCTCTGTCCAGTACCCCCACAGCTCTTACACTCTGCTCGTTTTGCTCCCTGCTTCAGCCCACTGCCACTACACGTCCCACACTCGACCAGTGGTGTAATGTGAATATCTTTCTTAACGCCCTTGGCTGCATCCAGGAATGAAATGTTTGTTTGCACTTCGATGTTGTCGCCCACCAAAATCTCCTCCTCGAAAGGATTCCTCCGCCCACCCGCCCTTCCTCTTCGACCGCCCGTGAATGCCCCGAACAAGTCCTCAAAATTGATGTCTTGGAACGGACCCTGTGCGCCACCGCCAAAACCACCAAAACCACCAAAGCCCCCGCCAAACGGATTGCCCCCAGGCCCCCCAGGCCCAGCACCGGCACTGGCGCCAGGATTGAAGCCACCGTTGGCATCGAAAGCGCCTGCGCCGTACGTATCAAAAGCCTTCTTCTTCTCGGCGTCGGATAAGACTTCGTATGCGGATTGCGCGGCAGCAAACTTCTCTTTTGCGCCAGCGTCCTTGTTCGTATCAGGGTGGTATTTCTTCGCCAGTCCATAGTATGCTTTCTTGATGTCGGCTGGCGATGCATCTCTACTGACTCCAAGCGTCTTGTATGGGTCGGCCATGGCGAATGATTGAGGGGAAGCATGGAAGAACTGGACAAAGCATTAGCATACATATCTCTTCAGAGGCATGAGGGGGATAATCGTACTCGTATTGACTGTGTGCTAGTCTGAGGCTGTCTTTGTGCTATTGAGGGTCTCCGCGGTTGTGCTCTTGTCGCTTGCGTCGCTATGCATCGCCGCTGGCACTTGGTAAGAGACCTTGAACCAGCGATGCGTACGGGAGCCACTGCTTTGAGTGGCATTGGGCCTACGAAACTCATCTTGGAAGATGTCGGGAATTGATCAAATGAGGGTGGTGATGCCAATCTACAATATCCTTTGCGACCCAAGCGGTAATGTCTTACCCGACAGTTGATAACTTTTTGCGGGCACGGGCCGGTGACGCACCGCCATTGGCCGCCCTCGGTAAAGAGCGCGTCGAATCTTCGAGAGTATGCCACGACGCGATGTCGGCCTGAGGCTACACTGGACAGCTGGGTAATGGAGAATAGCTTGAATTGTAATTAGATGGTCGATGCGCTACTGCAAGCCTACATCTCTGCGCAAAGAGGTCTTTCCTGCTGTCACCACCACCACGCATGCACTCAGACTGCACATGGAGAGCACACCACATTCAGACCTCCACGACCCGCTATATACCGGCACCATCCAGCGCAGAACCGAACCTTGACAAAATCCAAATGCTCGTTATCCACAATGCTCGTATCTATACATGTCGGATTGCGCTGTATGCGTGCATGACTGTACTGTAATCATCCACAGCCCCGGTACAGCCCGCAGTGCGTAGCACTTCTTTCCCTAGTCATAAGATGCCCGGTGTCCCAAACGCCTATTGAATGCTCATATCCCATAATATGTGTATAAAGATCGGAGGCGACCGCGCGCCAAAGAGGGGGTATCGTCGAAAGAAAAAAGGCAAAAATGCAGTACTATGTGTGTGCGGAGTGGCCCATTCATTTCCTGTAAGGGGCGAATCGTACTCTAAATTCTTTGTCTAGAGGTTCGATTAGCAAGGCTGTTGTATAGGAACGGCGCCAGCGGGCGTACCTTGGTGTTTTGATTTGTACAGCCAGTCAACAATCACGTCACTCTCGGTGACGGCCTGCGAGTTGAAGCTCTTCTTGACTGCCAGCCCCAACTGGTCCTTGTGTACACGGCGCTTCGACTTGGGCCGCGCCATAGTCGGGGACATTGTTCCGATCCCTTGGTTCAAAACGACGTGGCTGAGGGGGTTCTTGAAGCTCGACGGGCAGTCGAGGCGATAGGCTCTTCGGTAGCCGTGGAGCACAGACGAATCCTGGGCTGACCATTTGATCTGTCCACGGCGGGCGCATGTTAGCAAATCCACAAGCTGCTAGGCGACGGGACGGGAAGAGAGGCGCGACGAACATTGCCTGAGGAGCTGAGGTCGACCGAAGTGTTGCCACTGTTGGTAGACGCATTATCTACTTCCTTGAGACCACTGCCGTTCATGACGCTGGTCGCGCCGTTGCGACGGCCGCCGCGAGGGTTCGAGGCTTGGAGCGTGTGCAGTTTGTCCTTGAGCGACGGATGGGCGTCGTCGGGGTTGTGGGTGCGTTTTGGCGGCATTGTGCAAGGCCAATGGACGGCTGCAGCGAGATACAGACACGCTGGGGGCTGGTGAGGAGCGTGCGAGGAGTCGTCGAGGAGTCGCGATGTCTGGTCATGCGCTGTCCTAGTACGGGCGGCCAGCGAGAGGAGAACAAAATGACGGCAAAGGGTCCAAGCGTAGTAAATGACGTTGGCGCGCCTCGGTCAGGGTCCGCCCTCGCATTTGCATTCGTCCCCTTGCCCTCCTCCTTCCCCTGCATTAGGCCTCCGTCAACCCAGATTCCATCCAAGTCGAGAGCGAATGTGTGTACGGGCATGTTGGCAGTGGGCGGCCGTCGCTCGCCCTCTGCTTTTGCCTCGCCCGGCTTTGGCTCTTATGCACAAGGCGCTACATGGCTTCGTCGTCGCGTAAGTCGCGCGTCGCTCCTCGGCTTTCCCCTCACCATCCATCCCGGCCCCTCGCCTGAGACCAATAGTGCACCCCAAAGTGGAAGCACTGCCGATGTCGCTGACACGGTCTGGATGGCATTGGGCTCCTTCACCATGCCATTTGGAAAGCAAAAAATAAAACGTCCAGTCTGCTCGTACATGGAATCGGCCAGCCATCTCGGCCCTTTGCCGCCCGCATGCCCTTCAAAAGTGGAGACGCGTAAGCTCGCGTGCAAATGTTCCCCTGGCCCTCAGCATCTGGCCGTGTAGCCTCCTCGTACTACACAAATCGCCCGTGTGTCTGTCGTTTGGATGCGCATAGTGGCCTGAGAAAGACGACTGCCTTGGGTAGCGCGGGGGCGCAGAGATTGACGAAGAAGCTGATAAGCGAGTGCCACAACGACAAAAAGGAAGAGCAGATGCTAGTTGCAGTCGGAATCCTCTCGGGACCCAAGTAAGTACCCGCAGCTGGGGTTAGCGCAAGTCGGGATTCAGTAGAGATGGGTGAGTACCGGAACGAGTAATAGTCGAGTGACAATCTGTCCAAGGTGATTGGACGTCA